AAGTGGAATCACTATCCCTGAGTGAAACCTCTCAGAGGACAATTTGTCCCTCCCTGCCCCAGCCAGGGTGAATCTGCCCGAGTGGTTCCCTTCCATCCCTGACTTCTGGGATTCTAAAATAGATTAGCATGAAGGGGCGTCCTCTGAGCCCTTGGTCGATTTTCTGGCTCTTCTAGAACTTATTGCAAAGAACGGAAGCCATGCCATATGAGAAGTGAGCTGGGACTGGTGTGAGGAATTTGCAGCTGATAGAGAGTATAACTGATTAAGGGCTATGGCTACACTTGCAGATGTAGAGTGCCGGGAGTTAAACCAGCCCTCGGAGACCGCAGCAGGGAAAGCGCTGCCATGTGTTCACACTGTCAGCTGCAAGCGCAGGGGCGTGGCTACATTAGCAGCTCTTGCAACGCCACAGAGAGCAGTGCATTGTGGTAACTATCCCAGTGTGCAAGTGGCTGCAGCGTGCTTTTCAAATCGGGGGGGTGGAGTGTGATAGGGTGCGTGTTGTGTGTATGTGGGGGGAAGAGACTGTGTTTTGGGGGGCAGAGTGTGTCAACATGCTGTCTTGTAAGTTCAGACAGCGGCAGAGGGAAGGGGGAAATCCCGACATCAGCCCCCACCCCCACCTCTCTCTCTCACACACACGCACAAATGCCTGCCTCTGCAGCAGGAGCATTCCACAGTGATGGTTGCTTTGTGTCCCGGAGCAGATAAGCATGCCGGCTGTCAGAAATGGAGCTTTGAGAGGGGATATCCGCATGCCTGCAGCCCAGTTCAAAACAATGAGAAGAGTGGCCATTTGACTTCAAGGGATTATGGGACATTTTTAGGGGCCAATCACAGCACAGTAATGCAACACGTCATCCACGCTGACACGCAGGCATTTCAGCCAGGAAGCAGCAAGCTTTATGCTTCTCGTGGAGGTGGATTACCAGGAGCGCTCCAGCTGCAGAGTCCAGGCGCTCTAAGTGCCTTGCCAGTGTGGACACCTCAGGAGTTAGGATGCCCGGGGCTGATTAATGCGCTCTAACTTGCAAGTGTAGCCAAGGCCTAAAATAGGTGGAACTGTGCTCACGTATAAAAACGCTGGCACTACGCCAGCATTTAACAATTTGGTTAAGTGGCTAAGACATGGGGGGAGGAGTCAGGAATCTGAGCTCCATGCCCACTTCTGCTACTAATTTATCCTGTGACATTCAGCAAGTCGCTTTAAATAAAAGCCAAAGAAACCCTCTCTTTGACTCAGTTTTCCCATCTGTGAAGTGGAGTTAATAATGCTCCCACAGCTTTGTAAAGTGCTTTGGAAATTTAGGATGAAAACTACCAAGTAGATAAATGCTAAGATTTCTTAGAACTCATGTGTTGGCTAGTGAAATGAGGGCTTTAAATTGAGCCCTTAACCACCTCCTAGATATTTAGTAATGCAAGGGAATTCTTACTTCCCCAGTGTGCAATCTATAAACTGTAGCACAAGTGCCCTTATTTCTAGTGGGTATGTGTCAAAGCTGCATATCTGTCAAGAAAAGGGCCAGCAAATGATTGATACCCTGACCATTAATCTCTAGAATTAGTAGCTCCAAATCCGGCATGTGCGTGTATTCAACAAAAAAAATGAACTCTGGGAGATTTATAGTGAATAACTGTCATTTAATGCAGATTTGGTTTCAGAGATGAAGAGAAATATCTACACAAGCATGTAGATGAAGTGGGAAAACTTTAATAAAAATCACTTGTTTCTTTAAAGCATTCGGTCCTGTCATTTATCACCCAACGCACAATAGGCAGAATACTCAGATGTTAGTAATTGTGTATGATCAAAGCTTTATCAAAGTGTTCTTTATTATAAACAGCAACAAAAGGAGGAACCGCATTCTAAAAAGAATGAAAACAGTTTGAGGCATACAATCATGTCAGCTGAAGACAGATCTTGCTATTCAAGCTTTCCAAGCAACAACAGAATCTAAATCCAGCCACAAGCAGATGATTGATTTGATGTATCTGAGGGATGAATTTGTCTTTGGAGGTACTAAAATATCTGAGCCATCACGGCACTACTCCAGGTTTATGCTGGTGATTAATTACAGTCAAAATGTAGGATTGATTCAGGGGCAGAGTGAAGGTGATTTGTAAAGAGACATAAGATGATGGGCTCTAACTTTGGTATTGAAACCACCGAGGATGGGACTCCATTTCCCAGGGAAGGAAATAGGTCAGTTCAAGGCCCTCACTGACTATAAAGACATGGAGTATGGGCCTGATGCCTTTGCCATCAGTGGGGTAACTGAAAGTAACCTGCTAGACTGAACCACAGCCACGAGATAGGCCTTATTAAACACAGAGGAAGCAGTGAAGGCTTTTGGGGCAAATAGCCTCCTTCAAGGAGAACCAGTCTGGCCAATCCTTAGGTGCTCAGCACAACCTAGAAGATGGTGGCAATGCCTCTGCTTCCCAAAGTGAAGGAAGAGCTCTCTAGAATGGTCTAACAGCACATTGGAGAGACAAGGGGCATGAGACAATATCTTTTATTGGACTAACTTCTGTTGGTGAAAGAGACAAGCTTCCGAGCTACACAAGCTTGTGTCTCTCACCAGCAGAAGTTGGTCCAATAAAAGACATGACCTCACCCACCTTGTCTCTCTAATATCCTGGAACCAACCCAGCTACAACAACACTGTACATCCATACCTGCGTAGCCCTAAAGACTCAACAGAGCAGTAAGACAGAGCCTTCCATGAACCAGGAAAAGATGGGCCTAGATCCTCGGCTGTGGCTAAGACGCATACATCACAACTCGGGAGGCGGGAGAACAGGGGTTAAGGCAGCTTTGCATTCTCATGATCATAGGCCAACAGCAGGCCCAGCCAGAACTGCCGACAGGGGGCTAATTGCCCAGGGGCCCGGGCAATTTAAAAGAGCCCGGGAGGGCCGCATGCTCCTAGGCGTGTTCAACCGCTCCGGGCCGCATGCTTTGCGGGCCAGTGCAGTTGGACCCAGAAGTGAAGGATTTGTCATTTCTTCCCCGGGCCCCGCACTCCCCCTAGGGACGGCCCTGTCCCCAGAGCCAGGAATTGCTGTTGGCGGGCCTGTGCCCAGCATAAGATAAGGTAGGCCTGGAAATGACACAATAGGAACGGGCCTGTTTCTAGGAGCAGCAAGATACTGGGGATTCATTTCAAAATACTTTTCAAGACTCTTGGACAGAGAAGGAGCATGTCTCCCGAGCTGCTGGGAGGGGGGCTGCTCCATGGGGTCCCACTGTCACTATCTACAACCAGGGAGGCCGGCTCACAGTGTCCACTACCAGCATTATGCTTTCCATCTCTGGAGATAGACCGGTGCTAAAGCAATAACGTCTCCTCCCCTGGGCCTCTTACCCATTCACGCTGGCCTCTGTAGGCAGGTGGTTACGGTCAGTCTCCTGAGGAGAGGGACCACAGGAGGTCCGTCCCCCCTCTGGCTGAAAACTCCATGGTTTCACTTTCATTTTCCAACCATGGTCACAGACCAGGCAAAACAAGTGTCCTGCTAATCAGGTCACGGTGGTGCAGGAGCAGCACAGATCAGGCAGGCTTATCATGGGGAGTACACACTGGCCCCATCAGTGCCCTTTGTAACTCCTGCTCCACTGAATTCACTGGAGATTTTGCCTGGGTTAAGACTGAGTTCAGAATTTGTCCCTAAGGGGCAGAGCCAGGCAGGGCCCAGGCCTAGAATCTCAGCTGGGTTCTGGGCAGATCTGCAGAGGGAAGAGTGAGTCCTCCCATCAAAGCCAAGCTACGGCAGTAGAACTGTTCCACCAAGGCCGTAGCCTAATGGCCTGATTAGACTCTGTAATGCTAACTCACTCACTCCAAGGTGCGGGAGGAGTTATACAGTATGGGATCCTCTGCCCAGGCCTCACCTCCAAATACCGCCTGGACACTGCTGTGCAGGGACCCCCTGCAGATCTGTGCTGCACAAAGTGCAGGGTTCCACGAAGCCCTGGCAGCTCCCTCAAATCCTGTCCCCACACCTGGGGCAATGGAATTGCCCTTGTTCTATGCTTGGTGGGAGTGTGGGGAGCAGGACTGACCCCTAAGTGCATGGACTGAAATCATTTTGAAATCATTTTAACATTCCATAATTATTGTGTTGCACCCAACCACAGAGAGCATAAAACATAGATTTCCACTGGCATTTGTGAATCCAATCTTCAGATGTGGGTGCCTCAGGATTGGGGCCTAAATTCAGGTATCAGCAGCTACCTGCTTCTCTAGAGGCACCTAGGGTTGGATTTAAGTGGCTAAAACAGGAATGTAGGTGCCTAAATAGTGATTTCTGCAATCAAGTTTGAAAACAGGGCCCTATCTTGTTATCCAAGATAACAAGATAGGGCCAGTGGGGGCTGCGATCGGCCGAACCTGCCGCATCAGCAGGTAAATAAACTGGCCCGGCCCGCTAGGGTGCTTACCCTGGCGAGCCGCGTGCCAAACATTGCCGACCCCTGCCATATTCCTTAAATCAACTCCTTTCCCCGGGCACAGCATTTCCAACTCGTTCCCAGCACTTGCAGGCTCCTCTTCCCCCCAGTGGCCCCCTCTTCCCCTAATTTAAA